TATGCCTTCATCTATACCTACCCTGTATTAGTGCTACTTTGCAACCAGTCATACTTGGACTGTCGTGTTGCTCTTATTATACTTCCACATAATTTGCAATAGTGATCCTATAGATCTGTTAGTAATGTAATGCTTGGTGGAACCGCAAATCATTTCCTCAGATACCCCTTCGTCATCTGTTAACGTCTGCTTCTGTTTACGCAGCTATCTCGTACAGAAACAGCAGATATGCTAGCCTTGGTACACGTAATAGTCTATGTCATGTTGGTATATCAATGGTATACGCTTCACCGGAGCAGTTCTGCTGGTGTTTGCTGTTACTGAGTGCGTCATGAATATTTTCCCTAAAGAATTGATTGGGCAATGTCATGTAGGTGTATATCAATGACCTACACCTAACCGGAAGTCCTTATTGTTTAATCTTCTTCATCCCCGGATTTAATGATTAATTAAATTTATTTCTTCTTCCTGCACCTTCTGCACAATCGGTGACATTTGTTTGCACGTGCAGACGAATAGACATTTAAATATTTTATTATCTAGGTCTCATTGCTTTATAGAGAACGAGATTAAAACGAAAACACGCACCATTACATTTTGACGTGGTAGAAAAGATATAATCAACTTGTAAATTTTGTTTATTGTATAACTTGGAATTCGAAAATGCTGGAAATATTCTTCCAACATTTTTTCACTCTTCATATATATGTATTACGCCAAAACACAAGCACATGCATGCCGATAATTTCATAAGTGTAATCGTATAACAGAGCCGAAGAGGTATTTTATGCTGAGTTTTTTGTTCTAAACACATTACCTATAGCACAGTGAAGTAAAGGGACATACTTTTAAGAAAGAAATCGAACCCATATATGTAACTATATCTCCATTTCCTGGATCCAGATTTAGCAGATATGATCTCTGTACGCCTGTTAAACTAAAACCAAGTCTCCACATTTAACTGCGGAAACAGTAATTCAATTGAAGATTCAATATAAAATATTGATTTAGGATGATAATGTGAACCCGGCCAATGACGGTCTAATCTAGCACAGTAACTACAATGCTGTTCCCAAAGTATTCCCTTGGTTTCTTTTGAGAAAACAGTAAGGTTTTTCAGCTGGGATGAAAAACTTCCCGATGTAAGGAAGACACGGGTATCACTTAAATAGACGTTTCCTTGTCTTGAAGACATTCGTGAGATTTACAGGGCAGAAAGCGTTACTCAAATGTTTGCCATTATATGTTTGTGTGTTTGAATCGATATAGTTAATTATTGCGATTTTACACAATTTTGAAGAAAAATCTTATTTTAAAAATATTTATATATACGTTCTTAAAATGACACTTTTAGTGGTATTTTGGTTTTGAAGAAGACGTGTATATACAAATGTAGTCCAACTAAGTCGGCCTTTATTGTAAAAGCCAAGCGAACGGGACCTGAAGGTCATTCAACTTCCCCAAAGGTCAGGGAAGACCAAACGGACAGTTCCTTAACACGCCAACCCTCAACTGGGTTTATGGTCAGACAACAAAGCCATATTTGTAAATCTCCCTTACTGACAAAGACCTGTCGAAATATAACCTTTTTAGCTACATACAGATGGCGTGCTTTTGAATAATGTAAATTAAGTGAATCGTGAGTCTGTAGACTGTTTGCGATCAATACACGGGCATGTACTATATTTAACGGAGTCACGCGTTTTGATGAAGCATTTTCATATCATGTGTTTATCGTTTACACCAATTTTTTACATGTAGAACCTACTTATTGATCGGTTTGAGCTAACTTATACATTTTTGATTAAAATCAATAATGTTAGGACAAAACTGAGGATATAGTTTTTCTTGCAACAAGGACAGATTTATATAGGAATTTCACTGTAAAGGGATTTCTCTGACTACGCCTTATGATATTCATAAGCTACACCAGCTGAACCACGAATTCCGTCTTTGCGTATTGCAGAGTTATCTTCTCTTGTGAGCAGGTATTGATTGTTACGTCACTTGTTTGTGAGAGTAACGTCATCAATTTTTGAGAAAACGACGTAATTTTCTCGCACAAACCAATGACGTAACAATCAATACCTGCTCCCAAGAGAAGATAACTCTGCAATACGCAAAGACGGAATATGTTGATGATGGCACAATGAAAACAAAAATTGATGACGTCACCATAATGGGCGTATATTGTATAGTAAATCGAGCATACATTTAGGACTTGGCACTGGGCATATATTAAAATCTTACCTCTTCGGTTGATTTTTTTTCTGTATCGTTCTAATATGTGAACTATACATGTACATGAACAAGTGAAAAAGATACATTGGTATATATATCTTGGGTAAAAAATGGAAATACCAAGAGCTGTAATGGGGACGTCATGTCATGTTTGGCTCTTCAAATTACCTGAAGAAGACACAATAGAAAATCTCGATTCTAAACGGGGTTCCTAAGTCTCCTCATAACGGATGTGCAGTGGTACATATCAGGTCTCTTCTTTGTTTCTCCCCATGTCCCGTATGCAGACATAAACAAATTCAGATTTTACTTTTTCAATAAAATATACAATGTAATAACCATTTTGTTTCACAGCTGAGATCAAAATACGTTCAAAGCTATAGCACAAACTGACACCACAATATAAGGGTGTTAAAAAGGCAAGTAAATAATTTTAAAATTAAGTCGGAAATATTATAAATAATTAAATTGAAATTATTTTCTTTTAAAGGTTTTATCATAATAGGAAAAAAAACATACAGTGTAGTCTGCGGCGGTTATGTAGTGGAAATATGCGCCTGTGTAGACTTCCTGTCTAGGAATATTCCTCTATCGATTGTCATTGTGAATTAATTGAAGGTTAGGTCTATCAGGGGTACATAATTGGTGATTAGTTATCCTAAATGTCACGCAATGTATGTCAAGCAAATATAACAAACGATTTGGAACATCTCCTCAGCGTCAGCCCTTCTGTGATAACGTTTGGCAGCCACGGCACAGCACAAATCACCGTTCGTTTCGTTTCTTTGCGTATCTCTGCTGTGTAATAAAGAAAAAAACCTTTCTAGACCGTGTAATGTAGAGTGACACCGTCATAGTCCGGACTTTTTAACTGTGTAATATAGAACGAAACATTATTAGTCCGGACATACTAACTGTGTAATATAGAACGAAACATTATTAGTCCGGACATACTAACTGTGTAGTATAGAACGAAACATTATTAGTCTGGATATACTAACTGTGTAATATAGAACGAAACATTATTAGTCCGGAAATACTAACTGTGTAATATAGAACGAAACCTTATTAGTCCGGACATACTAACTGTGTAATTTAGAACGTAACATTATTAGTCCGGACATACTAACTGTGTTATATAGAACGAAACATTATTAGTCCGGACTTACTAACTGTGTTATATAGAACGAAACATTATTAGTCCGGACTTTTTAACTGTGTAATATAGAACGAAACATTATTAGTTCGGACATACTAACTGTGTAATATAGAACGAAAGATTATTAGTCCGGACATACTAACTGTGTAGTATAGAACGAAGCATTATTAGTCTGGATATACTAACTGTGTAATATAGAACGAAACATTATTAATCCGGACATACTAACTGTGTAATATAGAACGAAACATTTTTAGTCCGGACATACTGTGTAATATAGAACGAAACATTATTAGCCCGGACATACTAACTGTGTAGTATAGAACGAAGCATTATTAGTCTGGATATACTAACTGTGTAATATAGAACGAAAGATTATTAGTCCGGACATACTAACTGTGTAATATAGAACGAAACATTATTAGTACGGACATACTAACTGTGTAATATAGAACGAAACATTATTAGTTCGGACATACTAACTGTGTAATTTAGAACGAAACATTATTAGTCCGGACAAACTAACTGTGTATTTTAGAACGAAACATTATTAGTCCGGACATACTAAATGTGTAGTATAGAACGAAACATTATTAGTCCGGACATACTAACTGTGTTATATAGAACGAAACATTATTAGTCCGGACATACTAACTGTGTAATACAGAACGAAACATTATTAGTCCGGACATACTAACTGTGTAATATAGAAAGAAACATTATTAGTCCGGAAATACTACCTGTGTAGTATAGAACGAAACATTATTAGTCCGGACATACTAATTGTGTAATATAGAACGTAACATTATTAGTCCGGACATACTTACTGTGTAACATAGAACGAAACATTATTAGTCCGGACATAATTTTAGCTGTGTACTGTAGACGTTCCTAGTTCAGGCACTTTCCAATGTACAGAGACATTTCCTGGAATAATTTAGTCCGGATGAGTCAGTTTCTCGATAATCCTGGTTATAGAAGAAAAATATAATCGGCACAAAGACCATATTTGTCTGTACGTCTCCTCTATATACACAATGTCATATGACGACAGGTTTGCCTACAATGTATGACATTTTTACTATCCAGGATGGTCGACAAAATATGCAGTTTTCGGACGATATATATGTAACTGTATCTTAACAGTTTTGTACGAGAAGAATGGCTGATCATTTCGATAATATATCCTGTAAAACAATCATTGAATTGGAAAACCCTAAATAAGCTTTGGTTTTATACTTACAGTCGCTAGTTTTGTTACCTTCCAAATCAAAACAAGTTTTTTTCCGGCATCACCTTGACAAAAATTGCCATTAATTTTAAATCATTGTGGCATAGAAGCTTGAGTGCATTCAATGAAGAAGTGTGTCTATGACAAAGGAATTAGTTAACTTGGTGATCTGCGATACTCTATAAACATATATAACGAAAGTCTTGGACTATGATGAAACATAATATTGCCCAAGCTCACTTTTTTAGACAAATTGAACGGCTCTTCTATACCATCGTCCTATAAGTACATAACGTGTGTGTGTAATTTTAAATTCTTCTTTACAGCTTAGAGATACCTTTTGCTATTGATACTCCATTTGATTTCCAGCTAATTTCCTGGAGTATGAGATCGAGACGATGGTTGCCGCATGCGTGTGCCTTGCAGCCACAGCCCTTGGCACAGTGTACCGACATCGTAGAGCCAGCAAAGACTACCTCGGGTACGGCCTGGGCGGGAGCCTCCTTCTTGTCGCTTCAGGTATGACATTTAGGCTGAGGGTGTCAATTATAGCTGCTTCTTCGAAAATCAGAAAATTTGATGCATAAAAACGTCTTTGACAAGTTAAAGAGTTTTGTCCATCAGCGGAAACACGTAATAAACAGCGTTTTCTTATCACACCTGTACTACTAAAAACGGCATGTTCTTTCCCACCAGTAGTAGCACAAGTCAGTCTATAACTATATGGTTATATGATTGGATTTTCTGATAGGCAGGAATTATAAGGTTAAGATCATATACCCCACAATAATGGTACATGTATCATTATACACCCATACTCTGTTGTCAATTTTCAGACTTCGAGAAGTTACCGTCCTTCTAGTTTAGTGGCTGTAAACTAGTAGGACGGGGTCTAAAATGTTCGCACCACAAAATCACACTTCTGGTGGATGAACAACCTTCTAGTAGTGAGGAGGGGTTTGGGCCCCGATAATTTGTTATAGTCGGTATGTTTTGACCTATTCCGACATGTTAGGGGTTAAGATCAACCCTTGGTCAAATGTCACCCCAATGTGAAGGGTGTCGTAGAAATGGGATTATTTTATCTGTAACACAGGTTATGAAAACTTGTGATCTACTCTGATACCATGTATTATTATATTGTATTATAATGTGACTATCAACCCACCCAGAGTTGTCGTTCCTTAGACTCCCTTACACAGGGAACGACGACTCATAGATAGTGTGTGTCTGTATTGTACACTAACGTGCTGTACGTGTACTTGTCATATTATGTTCTCTATGTCTCTACTACCTTTGGTACTTTACCAATAATGCTTGTTTTTAACAGGTTCCACGGCATGGGTAGCTATTGGCAAACTTATAAAGGAGAATGTCGACCTGGGCGGACACGAAACAATAGACATCCCGTGGTCACTCATCATATCAGCGCTGTCCAGTACTGTTCCATTTGTTCTTGGCGCTTTTACGGTACCCTTTTTACTTACGAACTTCCGGCAATTAAAACGAGACCGGGTAGCTGCGCGTGCTTTGGAGGACAAGATTCAATCTAGCACAGCGAACCTGTACACGACAGATATAAGTATGGACCGTCTCCCGGGCTACCACAACATGGGCACGTCCCTAACGCCCGCTCCCAGCTTTTCCACTCTGGACTCCACGGCTTTCCCGGGCGATTCCGTGATGTCAGAGCCAATTAAAAGTGGCGAGATTTTCCTGTGATATAGTGTTAATGTGATAGTTCTGTGTTAGTCTCCGTTAATTGTTGATGTACTATACATGTATATGATGTGTAACATCAAAGTTGCACGTGTTACACTGTATCGGACTTAAGTATGTCAGTATAAGATACTATTAGTTTTATCATTTTCATGTAATTTTATGTTCACAAAATGTGCCATGATTTTTTTTATCGGACATTGTTACCTATTTAATTAATATTCATTAATTAAATAATCATATGATGATCGTGACGTCACAACTGTAACATTGTTTGGACATTATTCATGTATGTTTATATCGGAATATTACCTATGTGTTCAATGGTTTTGTATATGAAATGTATCGGCACGCATGACTCACCTGTTGTGGATCTCTTTAGACAGAATGTGTTAAAACTAGTGAAACTGTGTGGTACAGGTAATTGAAAGTATATCATGCTGAAAACGTGATGCCATATTCAATCCTGCCACAAAATAAATCCAGATACATGTAATTTTGTTGCTCAATATATTGATTAGTCATCTTCGACTTCGACTTTCATTTCATGAAAGACTTAATGATCAAGATAAGTCGACATAACGATAGTGATGTGTCCACTTATCTCGTGTTAAATTAAGTAGTGGCAGAAATATGCCACCATACAAAAAAGTCACTATTAATTACCTAAACAATAACATATTCCTTTGATAGAATAATTAATGTTCTTGCGTCTTACACAATTCTGTGTACTCAGATTCCAAGTGACTGTCTTCTACATCAAGAGCAATATACTTCTAAGACCAAGAAATGCATGTGCATTGGAGATCGGGTGCAGCCCGCGAGTCGGCAATACTTAATCATGGCTTCTGTGCCACATCTTCTAAAATGGAATGTGCGTGGGAAGTGTGGAATAGTTTCCTAGTTTTTGTCGTTCAGTGTGAAGCAATGAAGTCTGTGTTTGTTCGAAACGAACTTCAATTTTCAACATGAGTGCAATATTGAAAACCATCTTTAGACCGTTTAGTCATTGCAGCTTTATTTTTTATCTTGAAAATTAAAGAGATATAAACCGGTCAGTTTTCTAATGATGGTTAATACCAGAACAAATTTCGAATGTAGTGTGATACTAGAGTTAATATATGTAATGAATGGTGATACTAGAGTGAATATATGTAATGAATGGTGGTACTAGAATGAATGTTGATACTAGAGTGAATATATGTAATGAATGGTGGTCCTGGAGTGAATATATGTAATGAATGGTGGTACTAGAGTGAATATGTGTAATGAATGGTGGTACTAGAGTGTATATATGTAATGAATGGTGGTACTAGAATGAATGTTGATACTAGAGTGAATATATGTAATGAAGGGTGGTACTGGAGTTAATATATGAAAAAAAAAAAAAAAAAAAATCGTAATCTGCTAATATCATATTGAATATGGCAATTCATCATATTCATTAATTAAACACATACTCTGATTTCTTTTTATACTGATTCCCCCATCCTATGGGTGATCCGTAAAATTTCGTTTCTCCGCCGTATTCGACTCTGCGATTAGTATCCATTGTTGTTAACCACGTGAAATCGTCAAAGATGTTGACGTCAAAACAAAAGCATCAAAAGACCTTAAAATCATCTCAACCCTGACACTTTAACTATAAAATATACATGCTCCAAGTCAGGAACCGTTACATTAGTGCATTTCACAATTAGTTTATGTTTGTTAGCAAAAAAAAAAGTCCAAAAAGGTTTTATTGTTTGTTTGCAAATTTGATTCTACGCCCTCTTTCAAATATCCTAGAAACGCCCCTGAGAGTGAATATAAATTCATAACCATGGGATACTTAAACGATTACGTAATTAAGGGCGATACTTGACTAAATCATTCTATGCATCAGAAAATGGCACATGGACACTCGTAATAATATATATATATGATACATAAAGCACCTATCATTCAGAGACCATTACCATGGTCCATCGTTAGCGAGACTTATACAGGTGGTCACGAACGCCTTCACTGTTTCATTCTGATACTTTCCATTCCAGCATATAGTAGAGGATGTCACATTGTTTTATACCTTGATTCATAACTGCATTCCATTAGCTGGTATATCTGTGTAAGTCCAGTATCGGTATATATCCGGGTGTCTATGATTGTGTAGTATTCTTCGTTTAGTTAGGGAAAAGGTGTGGATTGTAATAGACACATAGATAGTAAGAGATGAAAATCAATTTATTTACAAGTTTAAGTATTTTGATGTTAAAACAGCTTTCGGTGTTTGCTACTTTCCAGAACGCACCTGAATTTCCTCAATTTAAATTCAAAAGTGCACGCCCTTGCACGCGTGCTGGATCGTGTAAAGGGAGGTAATACATTGTCTCCTTTTGCCCAGATCTTGAAATATACACTCCACACATTAAACGTTTCGACGTTTATGAATATCGAAGACGGCTTTCAAACATCAAGACACTTAGGAAAAAGCATATATTCCACACGTTTCGACTCATATACTTTGTTTTAGTCACGTGAGCAAATCTTGACTTGTTTCTTTGCTTGTTACTGTTTTATATATATAGCAAAATAAATCATCGGAAAAATGACCAGTGTTTCATTTTTACTTATCCTTTACACAAAATAGCACAGAAAATGGGGAATCCAAATTGTGAATGGTTAAAGCATTATTTTAGTTTAAGGAATTTTCTGGCACATTTTCTTCGATTCGTAATTTTCATGCTTCTTTTCCTCTTTTTGCACCTGTCATTACTTGTGATTCAACGCACGTTAAGGTAACCAAAGTCTTCTCGGTATGTAACTGTTGGGAGTACGAGGGGTTTGACGAGTTGACGCTCGTAGTCATTTACTGCAGAGCTTCGGTGTCGGAAGCTAGAATATATACCGAGTAGATTAACGTGGTATTTGAGAGAGAAAAAGTGTTCTGCCACTTGTATTAAACGGGCGTAATCGAAAACTTTTTTCATATTATGTCTTTCCCCGCGCGATATTTGCTGCACTGAAAAGAGGATATTTAAAGAGGTATGGCGGAAAACTGCCCGTATTTCCCTAAGTCGGCATTTTTGAAAACAGAAATAAATATTGATGAGTAAATAATCTTTAGTAGCAAAAATGCATGGAATAGATATAAAACCAATTGAATATGAATTTTTGAACTGTTGAGATATTCGGTAATGTTGATTTATTACTGCAAATATAGCCATATTCACTATATCTATGAAAGTGAAGAGGTTTCCCAGACTTAAAAAATTATGTTCAATACTTTCCTATCCGAGGACCAACTTTTGAATATGCAAAAACAAATCGTATGACGGAAAAGTGGTCCACCTTTGGGAAAGTGTTCAAAATAATGAAAAACTGGGTTGATGAAGTTTTTAAAACTGCGACAGATGTTTTTGGGTTAAAGCAGTTTGTATTTCCCTTTTTGTCTATGTCCGATGTAGCCTAATGTGTAATGCAGTTAGCTTGTGACCAGAAAATGTGAACAGTGTAGGTTCGAATCCACATTCAGATTCACTTTTTTGTTTGTTTTACTTTTGTTTAATATTTAGGCATGTGATCATTTTCCTTAAATTAAGTGATAAATATTTTTCAAATCAATAGAACATTTAATTTATATTTTAATAACATACCTATTGATTTATCTTCTATGGAATCATGTCAACAAAACCCTGTATGCGTGTACAGTACAGCTACGCTTTGTAGTTGAGACATCATTTTAAATGATATTTATGAATTGTTTTACCGTACAATTCGCACTAGTATTTTTAATTATTATCTTAACGCAAACAAACGATGCCGAAATACAAAATATATGGGATTGGTACAAGCAAAAAAAATGAAGTGTTATTATCGAAAAGATATTACCGAACATGCGGGGAAATTCATCGTCGAGGCCAGTCTCATTTGTTTTAAATGCAGGAAGACTGCAGCACAAAGTTAGGAGCGCAATACACGTGTAAGACAAGCTATTCGAAAACTATATGTAATTTTATCATTCCGAGTTAAAGAAAGAACAAAATCAAGATGTGTGTGTGGCTTTAAAAAAAACAAGTAACAGCATGACGTAGCAGTAGTAACGAAAACTAAATCCTTTCAAACTTGTTGGTAATGAATGTACGATGTTGTGTTTTATACAGCATAACGCGAAATACGCATGTATTAGTAGCCATGGCCTTGAATTCGTCTGTTTACAATAATCTATTCTTAGACACGGGTTCCGATCGAGCTAACCTGAGGACGCGTCATAACAGTGCACGGTTGGAAGCGCGCACTATAGCGGATCATAGCTTTGGGGAAATAGGCATAGCAACCCGCCATAGCTCTTTATCCGACATGTTACGAATCATTTTGTAAACGTTTACTTCTTCCGGGAATGAAAGACATGTACATGTACAATGAAGATATTTTAAAGCCCGGTCTGCGGTAGTGCCTACCGCCCAGCCTTTGCCTAATTATAATTAGGGCTGAACATCAGCTGACCAGCTGCAATGTTTGTTAACACAGCCATGCCTATGAAGATACTCCAGAGACCTATGGTCAGCTAGCCATTGGGAATGCCCAGAACATAATCATACATTTCACAACCAGTGAGGTGCCATGTGAATTATTTTATAATACTGTATTACGCTATACTTATAGTACTAGTATTTTTGTCTGGGGGTGAGATAATGAAATAGACTAGATCATGATAATCAGAAAACCAAATAGACAACAACAAAAATACATATTTACAACTTTTAATTTCTATAGAAGGCATTAATCACCATTTCCCACATCAATTCAATAAAGGAAAATATCTTTGGTTTGAGATTTTTTTAAACAGTTCTTCTCCTTGGATTTCTTGCATCCTCTAGCATTGTCACTGAAGAAACGTCTCTGTCCACATTTTCATTCTTGCAATCAAGGATTGTCATGTTGGTCCTTCTTTTGTATTCCTGGTTGGAAAAAAAACTATTCTTTTATCATGATAAACTAATACGGCATTGTTGAAAGATTTCACGTAATGAGTGTCAATACATTTCACAAAATCGTGTGGAGTTTTGTAAATCTGTAGTTTTTTTAATTGTTTTCTGTAAAAAAGCTATAGCACTCGAGTCCGTTTGCATTTTTTTTGTTGCTCATAATGTTCATCTGTTTTACACCTGGATGCTGGAGCACAGTTGTTATGAATGTTTTGGTAGTGCAGAACTATGTTGTCCAAGTTTCTGAGTAAATGTTCAGCTGAACCACCACAGTTTTCCATGGCATGATAGCAATGTGTTCTGACTGCTGCAGCCTTGTCTATAAGCCGTGTGTGCCATGTTACACCATGCAGTTTCTTTGGACCAGTTGCCACTTTTTTATTTCCTTGATAAATACTTTTAGCAACGTGCCATGTATCGTTTGCATCATTTGTAACTGTTGTTTGCTCTTCCAGATCAACTTCAGTATGAAGCTGGAAAATATATATAAGTGATATTGTAGCTATTCGTGGTATTCCGTCTTTGCGTATTGCAGAGTTATCTTCTCTTGTGAGCAGGTATTGATTGTTACGTCATTGGTCTGTGTGAGAAAATTACGTCGTTTTCTCAAAACTAATGACGTTACTCTCACAAACAAATGACGTAGCAATCAATACTTGCTCACAAGAACAGATAACTCTGCAATACGAAAAGACGGAATAGAGGGTATTTAGAGTTTTCCCGTTATACTTGGATACAGTATATAAATATTTCACGATTAGGACAGAATACTGATACATTGTTCAATTAATAGACCTAGGGAACTGTTGCCCAAGGCCGAGGGCAACAGTTTCCTAGATCTTCCCTGCTACCGAGGGTAATAATTTAGAATATTCCAGTGACGTCATGCTAGACAATAAGACGTCGCGCTTTTGAATTGGTTAACCGAACACTTCTATCGTGTTTTGCTATTATTTAGTAAGAATTGCTTACAAATATAGTTAATTAACATCTTAGTTTATGTACCAAAGAAGTACCACAGCAAACCACTCATTCTACATGTACCGTCGCATCAACAACAAATCTGCGGCTTCGAATTAAGTGATTAGAAAATAACATTCTAGCTCGTCAGTAGCAAAAGTGACAGTTTCTCACTGTGAGTGGTAAATAACACTTGATATCTGTCGTAATACATTGATCAGTTTTCTGTCGTAATACATTGATCAGTTTTCTGTCGTAATACATTGATCAGTTTTATTAAGTTATTAGAATTCGGCATCTCAAGGGGAAACATGTAATGAAATATGTCCTGCAAGTGGTGATTTTTTTGGGCAGTTCAATTTTTTCGATGGACCTTAAAATAGATACATGTATTAACGCTGTGTATTTGTGTCTATTATTATTATTATTATTATTATTACAAGC